TTGAAGTGGAACCTGTTCGTTGAGTGGTGTTCTTCTCGCCGAGAAGACCCCCGAAGATGCCCGATCGGAGTTGTGCTGTCCTTTTTGCAGCAAGGGTTGGAGCGAAGGCTGTCTCCCTCCACCCTTAAAGGTTATGTCGCTGCAATCGCTGCTAACCACGACCCTGTAGAAGGAGGTCGTTGAAGCATGACCTGGTCGTCAGTTTCCTTAAGGGGGCAAGAAGGTTAAATCCTCCCCGGCCCCCCTCTATTCCCTCGTGGGACCTGACGCTGGTGCTCACGGCACTACAGCAGGGCCCATTTGAGCATTTTTGCAGGCGGTTGAGCTGAAGTTCCTTTCAATGAAGACTTTGCTCCTGCTAGCATTGGCCTCCATCAAGAGGGTAGGGGACCCGTGTTTCCCCGGCAGACTTCTGCCATTCCAAGAGGGTTCAATCACCTCCATTCTTCCATATGCACCTAAGGGATGTCCATATGTGTATTGCTCCGAAACCTCCTTCGGGAAGGTTTGAGCTTCCGTAACGTCCCTGTTCCAAGTAGAACGGGTGCGTTTCCCCAGTGTCATCCAGTCTTACTCAGTGGGTAGTGCCATAGTAGCAGTAGCTGATGCTCTTGTGCAGGCCCTGGCCTACGCCAAAAAGTAGAGGCGCAGGTGGCTTCCACAGGACACTGGAAGGGGCAGTAGCTGTGGCCTTTTGGTAGGATCCCAATTCGTCGGTCCTCCGACATGACGTCGAGAGTGACTGACTGAAAGGGAACGTCTCGGTTACGTATGTAACCCTCTTTACAGTAGATTGGTCCCTCTAAGCGAGATCCCAATTCGTCGGTCCTCTGACGTGACGTCTCCGTTCCCTCCTTCAGGGAACGAGGGTTACATACGTAACCGAGAAGTTTCCACCGCAGGAGCCAGGATCTAAATAAAGTTCAGGGTAAAAATTTGCCCCTCAGAAACTCCTGAGTTTGCTGCTTAACATTCAAATACTTGACCAGTGTTTGCTGTAGCAGTTTGCAAGTACAATTTCAGACACTATCTGAAATCATCTAAAGTAAACACTCTTTTACTCCATATCACAGTACATATTGTTCTACCCTATTAATTCTTAAATAAGTAGTCAAAAACAAGTTATTAACTAACCATCATATTTAACAGTCTTGCATTCGATGTAGGAGAGAATTACTAAGCAAATAAGCAGCAGCATTTACATTTACATTTGGTAATTTTGCAGACGCTTTTATCCAAAGCGACTTACAGTCGGGGAACACATAAAGCGATTCTTCTTAAAGAGGCAAACAGACACAGGAAGTGCTCGTAATACCAAGTTTTAGGCATTGTTCAAATAAGTACAAGCTAGAAAGGAAAGGAATAAATTAAGAGAAAGACAAAGTTTTTTTTTTAAAATTTAGGATGAAGGATTTAATTTCAAAGGATTTACACAGTATGTATTTACGTATTTACACAACTGTATTTATGCAGCAGAAGTGGTCTATTACGGTATATTGCTGTGAGGATACGCCAACTAAGCTATGGATATTAGAACAGGTTAAAGTGAAATAAGCATTTACGCTGTATCCACCTTTTTTCTACTGAGCCTACTGACATAAGGCTGCACTACAAATAATCCTTATCCGTAAGTTTGACTGAATGAGCTATACATTTTCCTTCATTTTCTATTTTCTTCTCACTCCACTGCATTCTTTTCCACCTCATTATTATCTTTTCTTTAGTATTCTGATGCAACAATATGAAAAATTACATATATTGCGAATTTGTGGTCTGCTCTCCTGATTTAATTTATGATATATCTGATTAATAATTAAGTGGAATGCACTAAGAATCTGTTTTTCTCTACCCAAATCCTCACGTCTCTTTCCAGGTTTGTTTTCACACAGCTATGCTAAATGTTATATATATTTGCAAATTAAGCCCTTGAGGTGTGTAGGGGCCTTAAGAACCAACTCGTGATTCAGAGGGCATTTGAGGAAAAACAGAGCAATGTGCCTGAATAAAGTGAAGAACCTGAAGAAATAATCTGAAATAAAATCTTACTTTTGAAGATTACATTTTTTAACCAGATCATTGTAATTAGCAAAAAATACTGTCAATGAAAAAGTCACTACATTTAACTAGGCCGAGGTCCTGCCATTGCTTGAAAGTAGAATCTAGCTTGGCAGCTGGGAAAAGATTATTATTACACATGGGGGTTTCCAAGGAGAAGTCTGTGAATTGAAATGCTTGTTTAAACTGATTATACATTTTGAGAGTCGAAATTACAACTGGATTTGAGGAGAACTGCGTTGGTAAGAATGGTGACTTCATTGTTCCCTATCTGTCGGTCACTACGAGTTATGCTGTGACGACATTAGGGGTCTTACTTGGGAGCCCCAATCACCTCTGAGTTAAAGAGAAAACGCCAATGAGAATTGGCGAGTGGATTTTGCATGCCAAGCCACTCCCCTGTCCACACGGGTATATAAGGCGGCAGCGTCCATTCACTCATTCAGATTTTTGCTTCAGAGCTGATTGATTGTATGAGAGTGCAATTCACAAAGTCATTTCACCTCAGTGAGCTGTTCCGGGTTGGCGTTACAGTGTGTACAGCGGTGTCCCTGATTCAGCAATTCCCCTGGACGCTTCAACTAAATGTGCTGTCTGAGTGCTGTCTTCATGTCTGGGCATACAGCACGCTGAAGATGCGTTCACAGATGGTTCATGCCCGCACTGCGAGCACATGACCATGGGAACGCTGCAATCGCATCTCTCCTTTCTTAAAGGGAAAGGAGCAGACCCCTCTGTCACAACCCATCCCGGTTTCTCTGCCGGTTAGTGCCTTGGGAGATATGAGGATTACAGTGAGAGCTAATCCACCTGGCCAGTCCCCATGGACCTCTCACTCCTCACGCAGCGATTGCCCTGTAGAGCTGCTATGCGATTCAGTTTGCCAGGTGAGCCATGCAACGGGCAGGCAACCTCAGGGTCCTGGACAAGGCCTCAACTGCTTTGGCACATCAACTGCCTGGAGTTGCTGGCAGTGCTCCTAGCTCTGCAACAGTTCCGGCCAATGCTGAAGAGCAAGCACTTGTTAGTCCTCACGGACAATACTGCGGCTGTATCATACATCAACTGTCAAGGAGGTCTTTGATCACGTTGCATGTCGCAACTTGCCCGCCATCTATTCCTCTGGAGTCAGACACGGCTCAAGTCACTGTGCGCCGTCCACAATCCGGGGGAGCTCAACCATGCAGCAGATGCGCTCTCACGACAGCTCACTTTCCCCAGAGAATGCCGACTCCATCCCCAGGTGGTTCAACTGATCTGGAGTTGATTCGGGGAAGCTCAGGTAAACCTGTTTGCTTCACACAAAACCTCCCACATAGTTATACTATTCCCTGATCGAGGTCCCCCTCGGCACAGACATACTGGCACACAGCTGGCCCCGGGGTCTTCGCAAGTATGCATTTCTCCCAGTGAGTCTCCTCGCATAGACAACGTGCAAGGTCAGAGAGAACGAGGAACATGTCCTGCTGGTTGTGCCTTAATGCCCCACCCGTACCTGGTCTTTGGAACTCATGCTCCTCGCGACAGTCTCTCTCTCTGGCACATCCCGCTGAGGAAGCACCTTCTTTCTCAGGGGCGGGGCACTATATGGCACCCGTGTCCAGACCTCTAGAACCTCCACGTGTGGTTCCTGGACGGGACGTGGCAGGCTTAAGTGATCTGCCCCTGGCAGTGGTTGATCACTCAAGCTAGAGCTCCCTCTACCAGGCGAGCTTATGCCTTGAAGTGGAGTCTGTTCATGGTTTGGGGCTCTTCTCACCGAGAATACCCCCAAAACTGCCAGATCGGAGTCGTGCTTTCTTTCCTGCAAGAAAGGTTGGAGCGTAGGTTGTCACCCTCCACCTGAATCAAATTGAAAGTGTATGTCACTGATATCACAGCGCATCACGATGCAGTGGACGGCCTGTTCCTAGAAAAACATGACCTGGTCATCAGGTTCCTGAGGGGTGCTAGGCGGTTGAACCCTCCTAGGCCACCCTTCGTACCGTTCAAGTATATTTAAGTATACTTTATGTAGTAGGTATATAAATATCAGTCTGCTAGTAGTATACTTGTATAAGTGTACTATTTCAATACTCCTTGGGACTAAATTGGCCCACTTTCTAGCATATAAAAGTATACTTTAAGTATAACAGAAGTAAACTTTGAGTACACTACTAGTCTACATCTATGTATTTAGTTTGTACTGCAACTATACTAAAAGTGAACTTATAGGTATACTTATAGTTTACTAATTAAATACTTGTAGCTTTTTAGTACACTTTGAAGTATAGTCTTAGTAAACTACTAGTTTAGTAGTTTTATACTGCAAGTATACTCGTAAGTTTTCTTTAAGTGAACTTTACATCATACTTTAAGTATACTACTATGTCCCTATTTAGGTATTAATTTGTATATATTTTGTTACATGAATATCTGAACATACAAAACATCAAAAGAAAGAACAGGGTATCTGCATGCAAACAAAAACTTTTTATTCTAGCGTCATGCATTCTTTTTTATAAACACTTGAATGTGGGTAAGTTTTATAAATAAAAAAAATAAAGAAATAAATAAAATTTTGAACAAAAAGCTGAAAAAAGACTATTAATTGGATTCAGAATGATAATCAAAACATAGATGGAGTCGATCAACACCCCAAAGCTTGACAGTCATTATTACCTCTTCATTGGTCAACATTTTATTCCATAACGTTACACAGTTTGGATGCCGTTTTATGTCTGATGATCATGTTAGAATACATATGGAAGCATCTGTTGTTTCGGTTTCTTCTTCGATTGTCTTTTGAAATTCTGTACAGAAGATGTGTAATAGCGCCCCCTACCGTATAACAATGAAAACACGGATTCTCAAAGCACAAGTATAGCTCAAATATATTTTGACTTTTTCTAAGTATAAGTCAAGTATACTTAAATGTCATTTTAAGTATATTTCTGAGAAGTACATAACGCCCATGTCAGAAAAGTACATAAAAAGTAGACTGAAAGTATACTTTCCTGTTTTTAGTTTAAAAGAAGTATACTAAGAGCACACTTGAATAAACTTATTTTTCGTAAGGGTGGTGCTACAGAGGTTGAAAGTTTTGTAGCACAGGCCAAACTGTTGTAGCACAAACATAAAATGTCATCATTATCATTAAGTTATCATGTCTGAAAACAAACACAAGTAATGGAATTCATTACTTACATTGATTTTCCATACAGAGCACAAAAAATACAAACTATCACAAAAATTGTTTTACACAAAGTTTTTTTCTTTATTTGCTAAAAATGTTGTGCAGAAACAACACCTCTTACACATCAACATTACACATCAAAGTAGAATAGATCTGTGGGCAGACATCACTAAATAAAAGCTCTAAATTAAACACAAAATTTGCAAACTAGCAAAACGAACCTATACCATGAAACTCCTTTGAAAATAATACTATCAACAGATGCATCGTTTTTTAGTTTAGTGCATAGTGTATGTGTCACAGATCTAGCATGTCTGCTGGCCACTCTTTTGTATTTGGTCTCCTGGCCCTTTCAGAAGAGGTAATCCATTTAGCTGCTATCCGATTTGGATTGAATTCCTCCAATGGTCAGCCTTCTGCGCTGATGCGGATTAAGTCCTCAGCAGTGGAGACATGGAGGCTTCTGCGGGTAGTGTTCTTTATTCGATTCTGGGCTGAAAATTCTCGCTCACACTGAGTGGACGAAATTGGCATCACAAGCAGTTTTTCAGTCAAGTGCAGAAAGTTCTGAAATAAATGTAAATATGTAAAACTCGATTTATTCAGGAATGTAGACACAGTTTTGTAAATTGTGAAGAATGTTAAGTATAGCCCACATACCTTAAAGTCTGAGCAATATGGTTCCTTGGTGAGAAGTGTCTGCCACAGCCCTAGTCATGACCTGTCTGCAAAGGTGGTCCTGATTAGGGGCTTCAAATTAGGGGCTTGAAAAAATATATATGGTGTGGGGACATTTTGACATCAGAAATTTGGTAAAATTAAAACACTGAATGTTCTTTGATAGATTCATAAAACACATATCACCTAATCACTTATCTGCCCTCACTTTCTAAGAAGCTTGTCAAAATGTCGGAGAAGAGACTGAACCTCTGCCCTGCCATAGTGCAGTAATGCAGCTTGACTCTCTGGCCATGCATCATGGTTGAATATTCTGAAGCATTCAACTTCACCTTCCCCTGACTGATTCAGCAAACAACTGAAGAGTCTTATTTCTTCTACTGCAATGTCAACAGTCGCTGCCACATGGAGACTGCTGAATGCATCACCAGTCAAGGGAATTTGCCCTTTCAGCTCCACACTCTGAAAAATGTTAACAACAATAGCAAAATACAGTTGCCATTTCATTAAGATTAATTTATTTTTGTAAATCTCTTATTTGCTATTGTATCACACCTGAAAAGTAACAGTCCCTCCCTCACGCTGTATGCTCAGAAAATTCTCTAACATCCCTCCTGGTTTAGGCCTCAACTTCATTTCTTCCAATTCAGACACTGTTCTCTGTAGCTCAGCAGTGGCCTTGGGTAAGATCAAGTCATTTCCCTGTAGGATACGGCTAAGGCTCCCTATTTCTGCAAATACATCAGCCATAAAGTGGCAAAAGGCGCAGAACTCTGCATGCTCCATCTCACACTTGATCTGAAAAATTATATTTTTTAGAAATTGTAGAAAAACTATTTCATGAAACAACGTTAAAAAAGGATTGAGCAGCCCAATTTGAAATGTATTACCTTCTTAGCTCTGCCTTTCATTTCAGCAGAGGGAGAAGATGCAGACAGGCTGTTCATGTGTTGTAGGGTTGCAGCATACTGGCTGCTGTCCTGTTCATTCTGTCCAGCCGATTTGAGAAGTGCATGTAATGCACGCTCAACATGAGGAATCCAGCGTGTGCCTTTGACATTGGAAGGGTTACTGATGCTAACACCCAGCGTTTTGCCCAATGCCTGCAGCTCCCTCAGAGACTTTGGGCTATAGTGGAATGTTTTCCATAGCAAGAAGAGGAGGTCATAAAGTTTAGCTACCATGGGCTCCTTTTTTTGGACAGTCAGCATAGCCAATTCCAATCTAAATGAAAAGCAGTGTAAAAGCTTATTTATATATTTATTCAGTAAGTACATGTTCATGTGTGATATGGTGCATCAAAGTCTTAATGTTTACAATTTACCATTAGTAATTAGGAAGTTATTACTGTTCTGACTATGAATGAAATTACCTATACCAATTTTTAATGTATATTAGATTATTTTCAGCATATCTAACCAAAGCAATAATCAAATTTACCTGTGATGCATGCAGTGGTATGGAACTACATGCTTCCCGACCTCTTCAAGCAGGGCAGTGACACCTCCACATCATCCCATATTCACTGCAGCTCCATCCGCTCCAAAGCCTACTAGCTTGTTTATTCAATCTGTCTCCTGTCCTAGCTGCTCAAAAGCAGTCTTGGTGGCTTGTAGAACTCCTTAAATTACATAGATAACTTAAATTAATCAAAAGTACAAGGAACTCTGCATAAATTGTTTGAATTATTGTCTCATTATTGAAAAACACCTTAATAGTAACTTATACTCACCTAACGCATGGCTGTATTTTAGTTCCTGTTGCCCGACCAGCTTGCTTGCTGGCTTTCCATTCTGAAGGATTCGAACATAGACCATTTCACATTCCTTGTTCGATGTGTCCGTCTCCCCGTCGATCATCACAGAAAGGTAGCGGCTTGCTCTAATTTCATCCACCAGATCGGATTTCATTTCATCAGCTATCATTGAAATTATCTCTCTTCATCGTACGTGGTTATCATAAGATGGCGTTATGTCCGCTCCATTCTTTTTTCAGAGCAAAATCAACGGTTTAAACTTCGTGAAAGGAAGTTCTTCTTTAGCAATGCAATACGCCACATTCATTTTCATTTTAACTTCACGGAAAGCAGCATCATCTGCTTTGGCTGCCTGGGATCTGAGGGTGTGCAGCAGCGTGCTAGCCCGCTCAGGTTGTTGTTTGGCCATGAATGCATCTCTTGCAAGCAGATGACGCTGAGAAGTGCTGTGTTTTATATGTTATCTTTTTTAAAAATGCTGTTACCCATCACAAAGGGGTTGTCTACTTTAATCTTTTCTGGAGCCTCCTTGCACCAGCTACAAAACAAGAGCTGTTGGTCTGCATCGAAAATTAACCAAGGAAAATCCTTTTTCCACTTGGGGTTGTATCTATAAATTTTCTTTTTTGTTTCTCCCTTACTTTCATTTGGTAAAGTTGCTTCTGTCGTTTCTTCCTCACGGGCTCATTTGGGGTTTTCATGGATGACTTGAAAATACCGCTTAATTTTTCCTGTCAACACGCTCAACTAGCAGCTGCGTAGAAATTATGGGCTTAGGAATTGTGGGAAATGGAGTTGTATGAAATGACTCAATGCAGCAGGGACACAAGTTTTAATCGCACAATAGACTCCAACTACCATGTATAATAGCAGTGCGCAGTCAATATCACACACACACACAAACAAGCACAACAAAATCACTTCACACACTATTAAGCGGCTGTTATGAACATGCAAAACTGTACTATTGCACACATGCTACAATGGTAAATTTATTCATCGCACAGACCATTTTTTTCGTAGCAAAAATATATGTCATATATGTCGCACTGTACAGCCCTGAAGACCATCAGCAAGAAGCTTGGTGAGAAGGAGACAACTGTTGGTGTGATTATTCGGAAATGGAAGAAATCCAAAACAACCATCAATCGGCCTTGGTCTGGAGCTCCGTGCAAGATCTTGCCTCATGGGGTAAGGATGATCATGAGAAAGGTGAGGGATCAGCCCCGAACTACACGGGAGGAGCTTGTTAATGATCTTAAGGCAGTTGGGAAAATAGTCACCAAGCAAAACATTGGTAACACACTACCGTAATGGACTGAAATACTGCAGCGCCCGCAAGGTCCCCCTGCTCAAGAAGTCACATGTACAGGCCCGTTTAAAGTTTGCCAAAGAACATCTAAATGATTCAGAGAAGGCTTGGAAGAAAGTGCTGTGGTCAGATGAGACCAAAATTGAGCTCTTTGGCTTTAACTCGACTCACTGTGTTTGGAGGGAGAGAAATGCTGACTATGACCCCAAGAACACCATCTCTACAGTCAAGCACAGAGGTGGAAACATTATGCAACCGGCCCCTGGTGACTAACTACAAAAAAACGTCTTACCTCTGTGCTTGCCAACAAGGGTTTCTGCACCAAGTAGTAAGTCATGTTTTGCTTGGGGATCAAATACTTATTTCACTCACTGAAATGCAAATCAATTTCTAACCTTGATATAATGTGTTTTTTTCTGGATTTTTTGGTTAGTATTCTGTCTCTATACATTAAAATAAACTTACCATAAAAATGACAGACCCTTCATTTCTTTGGGTCAAACTTATAAAATCATCAGGGGATCAAATAAATATTTTCCCCACTGTATGTGGAGTGCACCTGGAGCTTCCGAAGCTCTGAGCAGCTCATTGTCTTCTAAGGAGGCCAGCAGAAAGGGAAGGCTGTCTCCAAGCAGAGTTTGGCCCACTGGATAGTGGATGCCATCACCTTGGTGTACCAATACCAAGGTGAGCTGTGCCCCCTGGGGGTGAGAGCTCATTCCACCCGGAGTGTAGCTTCCTCCTGGGCTTTGGCACATTGCGCCTCTCTGGCAAAACATCTGCAGAGCTGTGGGCTGGGTGACACCTAACACCTTTGCAAGGTTTAATAACCTTCACGTAGAGCCGGTGTCTTCCCGTGTGTTGGGTGACAGATAAGTGGCTGGAAGAACTGGCTCGGTGTCACGCTTGCTGAACCAGTTCCCCTTCACAAGGGAATGTTTTCATCTAGCCTTGCTGAAAAAAATGGTAAAAGATCTGAAATCTTTTTCCCGAAGTTGAAATTTCTTAGCACCAAAGTCATTGAATTTGCTCTGGGGCGTTGGGAAGGTTACAACTTACTGTATGCATTGGAATTTGCCTTGGCACACAGCGGCTTGTCAGCATTTGCAGCACCTCAGTGGTAATGACGTTCAGTGGTTATGGCACTTTCCATAGGTCCCCTAATGTCGTCACGACATAACTCGTAGTGACAGATAGATAGGGAATGTTTTGAACTCGTTCCCTGATAGAGGGAAACAGACATTATGACCCCTTGCCACAACCCTTGCCTTTTTGCCAACCCATATAAAAGAGGACAGCAACCTATTGGTCGACTGAAAAAAGGACTTTGGCAAGAAAATTGGGAGACTCTGAATCAAATACAATAATCTGGGTAACACATTCATTTTAACTCAGTTAAGTATTTTTTAAGTATGATGTATGATAAAAATAAAAAAATGCTATGCATATTTGTTAACTCATGGGCGCGTGTCAACACGTGCAACATACCTACAGACACATTTTGCTGAGCAAGCACCTGCTTCACCTTCATTTAGTTAACTGATGTAGTATACGCAACACAATGGCAAGTGGTAATATTGGATAAATGGCCCGTTTGGGCACACCACAAGGTGTCACTGTGGCCTCAAAGCTTACCCCTTGCCTGCTCTGGCTCGATTGCTATTACTGAGGTAAAACACGCCCTCCTCATTACCCTATGGACAAAGAAATTTAGAAATACATAATTGTGAAAATAAATAAAGGTAGAAATAAATAAATGTGGAAATAAATACGTAAAAAATACATAAATGTGGAAATAAATAAAAGTAGAAATAAAGAAATGTATAAATAAATAAAAATAAATGGAAAATAAAAATATACAAAAATAAGGAAATAAAAGTAGAAATAATTATTTATTTTTGCTTTTTTAATTTTATTTGTATATTTATTTATATATTTTTAATTTATTTATTGCTTTTTTACATTTATTTGTATATTTATTTATTTATGTATTTATTTCTTTATTTCAAATTGTCAGATTGTCATTCCATAATTACAACCTTGAATGTCTCCCATAATAATGACAGCAATATAGAGTCTGTTTTATTAATTAATAGAAAATTGTCAATCACACAAAATATGAATTGGCAAAAATTGGCGTCTGAAAGTAAAGTTGTGTTTAGCCTCAATACTGGGGAGTTGGGTAGTAATAAGAAAAACAAATATGTGACCATGGACCACAAAAACAGTATTAAGTGTCCATTTTTTCAAAATTGAGATTTATGCATCATCTGAAAACTTTCCATTGATGTATGGTTTGTTAGGATAGGACAATATTTGGCAGAGATACAACTATTTGAAAATCTGGAATCTGAGGGTGCAAAAAAATCCAAATATTGAGAAAATCACCTTTAAAGTTGTCCAAAGGAAGTTCTTAGCAATGCATATTACTAATCAAAAATTAAGTTTTAATATATTTACAGTAGGAAATTTACAAAATATCTTCATGGAACATGATCTTTACTTAATATCCTAATGATTTTTGGCATAAAAGAAAAATCTATAATTTTGGCCCATACAATGTATTTTTGGCTATTGCTAAAAATATATACCAGCGACTTAAGACTGGTTTTGTGGTCCAGAGTCACATATAAGGAATTACGGGGGTGTGGTCCGATTCAACAATAGTAGAGTATTCTATGTTTTTTATTGCAGGGATAAACCTTTTATCAATAAAAGAATAATCTATTCTTGAGTACATCTGGACATGTGAAAAGCAAGATAATTATTTTTTTATCAGGAAATAAGAACCTCCATGGATCCACACAGCCTATTTGAATCATATATCCAGCAAAAATCTGAGACATATTTAAAGGAGGTACTGTTTAGGGTTGGAGTGATCCATGGCGATCTAGAGGAGAACTGGCCCCCCGACTGAGCCGGGTTTCTCCCAAGGTTTTTTCTCCATTCTTGTCACCGATGGAGTTTTGGTTCCTTGCCACTGTCGCCTTTGACTTGCTTAGTTGGGGACGCTTGACTGATTGCACAGACACTATTGGAAGAGAACTGAACTGGATGATGACATCACTGAATCATCAATGAACGGGTTTTAGCTAAACCATGACTCTGTTATTGTCTTCTTGCATCATTGACAAACTATTTTCCTGTTTGACTCTGTAAAGCTGCTTTGACACAACCAGTATTGTATAAAGCACTACACAAATAAAGGTGATTTGACTTGACTTGACTTGACATGGCTGTATCCCTTACACAATTCAAATCTACACCAAATATAAGATGGTAAGTGTTTAAATCTAGTAACATCTAGTAGTTAATGTCATCCTATTTGGGTGTGTAGACACTGACCAGGACTACTGGCTTGCTAAAAAGATGGCCAGATACAATGATGTACCACCCTTGAGGATCTGAAATCATTCCAGATGCAGTAAATAGTACTCTTTTATGAATTATTAGGGCTGCACCCCTAGCCTTATGGTTAAAAGTCGGTTATGATCTTCAATACGTAGGTGTGTTTCCTGTAGAAAGGCTATTTCTGTTTTTAGTCTCTTCCGAAGTGTAAATATTGAAGTTCTTTTCACTGGTCCGTTTAAACCTCTAACATTCCAACTAACAAAGCTAAAACTAATAACTTTCCACTTTATTACCCGTATCTACCATTGTTTATCGACAGTTGTCTTAAAGTTTTAAACCTGATATCGAATATAAGATCAGTGACATATTCAATGAATTATCAAAATAAGTCATTATAATTAACAACGCAAAGGAAGACACATATGAACCACTCTAAAAAGAGAGTGCACACCTATCGCTTAGAGTTAAACCTGATATCAGAATCTAGGATAGATGATATACTCAATAAATTATTAAAAGAAGGCATTGCAATTGTCAGCGCCGAGGAAAACATATAAACCTCTCTAAAACAAAAAAAATTTAACTTAAAAAGAGGGGTATATTGAAACAGGTTTTTCATTCATAATAGTGTCTTAGGCCTACCTAAAAGTCAGCATCGTTTCTTCTCTTATGTAATTCACAATATTGCTGCCATGATATCAAGAGTTATTCACATGTAGCAATCCGCTGATCGTAAAAATGCTGAGCTTCATCTGGCGTATTGAAAAGGAATGTCTTGTCTTCATAATGAACTTGTGCTGGATGAAGCAACTGGAATCATACATTGTTCTGTTGTCTTTAACTCACATTGCCAAAACGGAAGCCAATATCGCACATTTCTAACTAGAGTTAAGTAATTCAGCGTGGTAGCCAATGCACACATATTTTAGGCCACTAGAGTTAAGCCATTCAGCGTGGTAGCCCAAGCACACATGGTCATATAGGCCACTTGACTTAAGCCATTGGGTGTAGTAGCCAAGGCCCACAGAGAAAGTAAAACTTTTGGTTCTCATGGCTCTTTGGAGCATTGTTCATGAGTTGTTCATTTCCCATGTCTTCTGCTTTGTTGAAGGGTAATTTCATGTATATGTGCAGCAGCAGCATGTCTGTGGATGTATTGGCATTAGCAAGTCTCTGTACTTGCTCTGCAGTAGCAGCAGCACAGCAGATCTTTTCCACCAAGACCAAATACATTAACATTGCCATGTTCATTACCATGCAAATCTCTCAAAAGAACAGTTAATCAAAAAATGTCATAGTTTTCTCACTTTCATTCTAAATCTGAATGACTTTGTGGGATTACAGATTTAAAGTGCCCCTATTATGCCATTTTTACGGTTCC